ATGGGTTAGGGGGGACTTTTTCTTGCACTTCTTGACTACTCTTAAGGGAGACTTTTCTTGCACTTCTTGACTCTCCTTTTCCTTTTTACCACCCCCAACTTAGGCTTTTGGCCTAAGTTGGTTATTTACTAAATCACAAATTAAGAGGATTGTAGGTAGTGGGTCAAGTAAGGTCTAGGGTTCATCAAGGTTCTTCCAAAGAAAGGTAAGGCTCAAAGGGTGTTCAAAAGAGTTTCACACGCTCACGGGTAGGCCACAAAAGAGGTATATGTCAAATTTGGCTCACACTCTTTAAAATTGCCTAAGATCATTTCAAGAGGACACCTTTCTAAATCAATCAGACTAACAGGGAAAATTCTAGGTTTATTCATGCATGGTTCAAAGCAAGCTAATCACACTAGGCATCGACACTTCAGTCAAACAAAACTACACACTTTCGCTAGTGTTCATCAAGGTTCTTCCAAAGAAAGGTAAGGCTCAAAGGGTGTTCAAAAGAGTTTCACACACTCACGAGTAGGCCACAAAAGAGGTATATGTCAAATTTGGCTCACACTCTTTAAAATTGCCTAAGATCATTTGAAGAGGACACATTTCTAAATGAATCTGACTAACAGGGCAAATTCTAGGTTTATTCATGCATGGTTCAAAGCAAGCTAATCACACTAGGTATCGGTATTTCAGTCAAACAAAACTACACACTTTCGCTAGTGTGCAACGGTCATAATAGGAGAATCAATTCGATAAATGGCTAATCACAATGAGATGCAACGAGTTCACATATTGTCTATGCAACTTTATTTGGCCTCATCGTAGCCGTACATTCATGTTCGTTCAATTGAGAGCATGATTCAAGTCATCGGTATTGATCGAAACCGAGACTTAAATTCTTGCAAAAGAACAACCATATTCCACTCACGAGGGGTGGCAAAAATGTGCAGAGAGATTCAAAAATTTTTGGAAGGGTCAAAATCGTCAAAATCATTTTGCAATTTAAAGTAAACAGAGCCACGACCTCAAACATCCATAGAAAAACAGTTATTAACACAATTATAAACAGACAGCCCAAATGTATTCAAAACACGAATCTCAAATAGCACACAAAAGGTGAGCCTCACCCCACCACAAATAAAAAGCAATTTTCCCTCAAATGCAAGTAATGATAATTTAAGAGGCAAGATAAAGAAAGATAGAGAGGGAGGTAAAGAGGGGATCCTGGCTAATGGAGTTTTATCCATCTGTCATGGCATCAATTTTTTTTTTCATTAGGCGATATTAAGTCTAATAGTCGAATATCTACTCGTCTCACCGAGTTTTACAAAATCTGCAATCATTGTGAAGATCCAAACGGCAGTTTTCATTGAGATCGCTGAAATTGTTGGCGAATCGAATATAATCTCCAAATCTCACTGAGTTTAATAGACTTCAGTGTTTATGATGTTTTGAGTCAAACGGCAGATAAGGTCGGATTTGCCGACCCCTTCGGTGACTCGCCGATAGGATTTATTGTTTGCCATCCTTCATTCAATTTAGTACTTTTACTTGCACAAACAACATACCATTTTATTTCCGGGAAATAAGTACTGACAAAAATAAAAGTAAAGAAATTATAGGGATTTTGGGTTGCCTCCCAAACAGGGCCTTAGTTAACGTCGCGGAACGACGCAGCAGCTCTTTCAGGCATCTTCCAAATATACCACTTCAACCAATGAAATCACTTGACAATTTTCTAGATACAATTTCAGACGTTGACCGTTCACTGTAAATGGAGGTCCTTCCTGATCTTTAACTTCTATGGCACTATTGATGAACACTCGCGTTGCACGAAATGGTCCAGACCATTTGGATTTGAGTTTTCCAAGGAAGAGTCTAAGTCGCGAGTTGTATAGTAGAACCCAATCTCTTACCTTGAAGTTTCGCTTGAGTATTCGAGCATCATGCAATTTCTTCATCTTCTCTTTATAGATGGCTGAACTTTCATATGATCTGAGTTTAAATTCATCCAGTTCATTCAGCTGCTCTGTTCTCTCCCTTGAAGTTTTTGACCAGTCCAAAATTAAAGCTTTCAATGCCCATAATGCTTTGTGTTCTAACTCAACAGGTAGATGACAAGCCTTACCATAAATCAACTAATATGGAGACATCCCGGTAGGTGTTTTGTCAGCAGTCTAATATTCCCATAGTGCATCATCGGGTTTCCTAGACCAATCAGTTCTATTGGCATTTACTGTCTTGGCCAAGATGCTTTTGATTTCCCTATTCGATACTTCGACTTGGCCACTTGTTTGGGGATGATATGGGATTGCCACTTTGTGTTTCACCCCATATTTACTCAGTGCCATTGAGAACCACTTATGGCAAAAGTGGGATCCCCCATCGCTTATGATTGCTCTCAGATTACCAAATCTGGTGAAGATGTAGCGTTTCAAGAATTGGACAACGCTTTTTCCTTCGTTGTTTGGAAGTGCGATGGCTTCCACCCATTTGGAAATATAATCCACAGCCACCAAGATATATTTATTTCCAAACGATCTCAAAATGGGCCCATGAAATCTATCCCCTATACATCGAATAGCTCAACCTCTAAAATAGGAGTAAGAGGTAATTCATGTCTTCTAGACACTCCGCCTTGCTGCTGACATTTAGAGCATTTCTTTACAAACTCATGTGCATCCTTGTAGATTGATGGCCAGTAATATCCACTCTGGAGAACTTAAGCGGCGGTGCGAACACCGCCATGGTGACCTCCCACTGGTGATGTATGGCAAGCATGGAGAATTTCTACCACTTCTTCTTCAGGAACACACCTTCTGATGACATGGTCAGCATACTCTCGGAACAAGTATGGCTCGTCCCAAAAGTACTTTTTATCATCGAACAAAAATCTTTTCTGTTGGTAAAAGGTCAACTCATCCGGCATCAGCCCACACACAATGTAATTTGCAAAATCTGCATTCCATGGCGTATGTTTGAGGGATATTGCAAACACCCGTTCATCTGGGAAAGAGTCATATATGTAAACCTCGTGCTCGATGAGAATGTACCAAAAAAGGCATTTAGGACCCGTTATGGGCACTTTAAGTTCTTAGTGATGTCGTTTGGGTTGACCAAGCTCCTGCATCCTTCATGAGTTTGATGAATGGTTTATTCAAACCATTCCTAGATTCTTTTGTGATCATCTTTATTGATGACATTTTTGTTTATTCTAAGAGTAAGGAAGAGCATGCCGACCATCTTCGTATTGTTTTGGGTGTCCTTAGAAAATAGAAGTTGTATACTAAATTTTCCATGTGTGAGTTCTGGTTGACTTCAGTAGACTTTTTGGGGCATGTGATTTGAAATGAAGGGGTAATGGTAGATCCTCAAAAGATCGAAGCAATCAAGAACTATGTCCGGCCTAGCTTTATGACGGAAGTTAGGAGTTTCATGGGGCTCGACAGCAACTACCGGTGGTTTGTTAAAAACATTGCTTCTATCGCCATGCATTTCACAAGTGTGACAAAAAAGGAGGTGCCTTTCGAGTGGGCCAACAAGTGTGAGGAGAGCTTCCAAAAGCTTAAGACCGTTCTGACCACAACACCTATTCTGGCACTGCCGGTGGAAGGTAAAGATTTCATAGTTTATTGTGATTCTTCACATTCGGGTTTTGGGTGTTGGGTTGATGCAGGATAAAAATGTCATAGTTTAAGCATCGCGGCATCTTAAGGTGCATGAGAGAAACTACCTGACGCATGACTTGGAGTTGGAAATGGTACTATTTTCTCTCATGATCTGGAGGCATTACCTTTATGGTGTCAATTGTGAGGTATTTACTGATCATTGTAGTCTACAACATGTATTGACCCAAAAGTACCTTAATTTGAGACAGTGAAGGTGGATGGAGTTACTCAAGGATTATGATGTTACCATCAAGTATCATCCGAGTAAGGCTAAAGTGGGGGCAGACGCTTTAAGCCGAAAGGTAGTGAGTATGGGTAATCTAGCTTGCTTGAGTGTGTCCAAGCGACCTTTGACCATAGAGATTCAAACCTTGGAGTCTAAGTTCATGCATTTGGGCATCTCACAGAAAGTTGGGGTGTTAGTCCGCATTGAGGTTAGGACCATATTCATTGGAGAGATCAAGGCCAAGTTGTTCCAGGATTAGAGTTTGAATGAGCTCAGAAAGAAGACAGTGTCTGGCAAGGCACAAGATATGGCTCTTGATGCAGGTGGTGTGCTCAGTTTTAAGGGAAGCATTTTTGTTCCCTGAGTGGATGACTTTATTCACCAGATCTTGTCAGAATCCCATGGTTCGCGGTATTCCGTTCATCTCGGAGTGAACAAAATGTACTGAGACTTGAAATGACTTTATTGGTGGCCTAGCATGAAGAATGACATAGTTGAGTTTATGGCTAAGTGCCAAAACTGTCAGCAAGTAAAGTATGAGCACCAATGGCCTACAGGTTTGCTTCAACGAATGCCAATTCCTAAATGGAAGTGGGAAAGGACACCTATGAATTTCGTGGTTGGTCTTCCCAAGACCTTGGGGAAGTTTGACTCAATTTGGGTATGTCACGACCCAGGAGTACCCCCTAGATGTGACAAGGCATACTCAACCCCAAAAGGTCTCATACAATTCCCTTAGCATATCATAACATAAGATAAATAGAAATGATGTGGAATTTAAAATTTTATCCATACAATTGAAGTCTTTTATAAAAGCAAGAAAATGTCTAGACTTGTCTCAATTAGCCATCTAATGCAATCTTTGAATCAAATAGGGACACAACGCTTACAATATAGTTCGAAAATGAAATAACTAGAAAGGAACTACGAATGACTCTTAGGTCCTCGAATCTTGAGGACTCACCACAAGCTAGGAGAATAGTCGATCCAAGCTTGAACCAAAAGAAGATCGCCTTAAGAACCGGACCCTACACATGTAGAAAAATATAGGAAAATATGGGTTAGTACAAAAATGCACTAAGAATGATAGCCATGCGTAAAAACTTTGAAAACATGCTCAAAAGCAACATTTTAGTTGAAAAGCATCCACTTTAGCAAGTTTGAGAATCATCATGCACATTAGTGTAAAAGCATAAGTCATAAGCATATTCAATATATAGATAATCATAGCATAATTGAACCATCTCATAAGTAACCCTAAAGTACACTTGTGCAATGCATAGATAAGATCCCATAATCCCATCTGTACTAAGTACCCCTTTGAGGCCACCATAATCATACTTACCATTCTTTGATCTCATCTTGTTTTCATACTCATAGACTGGGAAACCTTTACATTTACTAAGTCATATCAAGTAAAGCAACTCATAGCAAAAATACACATTAAGCATACTTCATTTCATAAACCAATATAAAAGGAACACACCATAACTACTCTCAAAGCCTACTTGTGTAATGCATGGATGAAGTCCCGTACTCCCACCAATACTAAGTAGAGCATTCTTGAGAATTCATAGTTCATAAGCATTCATTGTGGGGGTAAGACTTAACTAACATAGACCATGTGAGAAAATCATGGAATCTGTTGTTACCCACACCGAAAAGGGTGTCCTACTTGCCTAAGTTAAAACCATTAACTTAGATTAGGTGGATCCACTAGCTAATAACCTATGTGGGCACATAGTTATGGGATAAGGAGATTGCTACTAGATACCCCACCTAAACTCACGTATGGGCATCCATCTCAAGAGATAACTACTAGAAACCCCGCCTCAACTCACATATGAGTTTCCATCTCAATCAATAGCCACTCGATGCTTAGCATTATTCCCCATGGAATACTTAACATTTCATCACTTGATTTCATTATTATAGAAGAAATGGGATATGGAGATTGCTACTAGATACCCCGTCTCAACTCACGTGAGGGCATCCATCTCAAAAGATTGCTTCCAGAAACCCCGCCTCAACTCACGTGAGGGCTTCCATCTCATCCCGACATCATTCATAATATAGCTCATAGATTCAATAGGTAAGAATAGCCTTTCAACCTAAGAATCCCCATATTTTTGAGAAAACCTTTCACAACATGTCATCTTCATTCACAAGTGTCTAATTGAGAATAGCCTTTTAATCAACACATTATCATTAGCATAATCATAGAAACTTTATTCGTACTTCATTCATAAGTGTGTGAGAGAGATAATAGCCTTTCAAAAACACCACAATTACATCATAGTCATAAGCACATTACTCTCAAAGTGTTCATAAAACATATATATAAATCTAATAGTCATGCATAATTCTCATAAATTTCCCTTCAAGGACCATAGATCATGATTCATCAACACATATATAATTACTACATTATACATGGATAGTAACATAATTCAAATAATTAATTCATTACATTTATAATTCTATAACATTCTACTTGCATCAATTCATACCCACACTTTAAGATCCAATTTGAGAAAATAGGGTAATTCATGGATTCTTGAGGAATTCAACTTAAAATAATGTAAAATGATCAATATATCCATAAACAAACATAATTCAACCTTTAAAAATGAATTTGAAAGGAATCCGTGAGATTGAAGTCAAACCCTACCTTTTGGGTTTTCTAGCTTTGAAATTTGGGGTTTTGGAGGGGCACCATGGGTGAAGGCTACCCATGGATGAAGAGATACCATACCTTATTGAATAATTCTCATGAATTTGAGGAGAAAAGTTTGATTATTCAACCCTAACTTAAGCTTTCTTCTTCTTCTTCCTTGGAGTTCTAGAGAGAAGATTTTGGGGAAAAATTGGTTATTGATTTGGGAGTTGGGATTTTATGAAGTGAATGGGTTGGTTAATGACTTAAAATGACATATATAGGTGGATTAAATCTAAAGAAAATGACCTCACTTAATACTAACCACTATATGAATTACCTAAACTACCCCTCCCTTAAACTGACTTTGACATCTTGCAGGCCCCATCCACGGTCACCATCTACGTGGCATGGACTGACCTAGGCCCGTACTTGTGGGGAATGGGTTGAGGTCTGCAGCTCTTTGACTTGGACTTAGCCCCATGAAACTCATCCACAAGTCGTGGACCCCCACTACGGAGCGTAGGTCCCCCTCGTAAAATAAACTCCCCTACTTAGTACTAATATTTTAAGACCTAAACGTCAAGGAATGACCCCCAAGGACCTCCCAAGGGTCGTTGAGGAGGACCCAAGAGAAGGCCCAAAATGCTATCAAATATAGCAGGACCTACGGATGGGTACCCACGAACCGTGGGTGGACCCACACCCTATAGGTGGGGGTCATGGGTCAAGGCTTGGCCTCCCCTGGTCCTCCCACTCTCTAAAGCAAATGACGGATTACAATCACAGGGCGTGACCCCACCCAAGGTCCGTGGGTGGGGGTTTAGTGAGTCACACCTGAAGCTCTCCTAGATTTGCCCAATTGGAGGGGTAAGTTAGTAAATTCCTAATTAATTAATTAGTGTTAGGGGAAGGTTTTTATGGTTTTATTATACATATTTAAGGATTTTAAGACTATTAACTACCCTGACAACTCATTATTCCCCCAAACTCAAAATTTATAAACTACCTCCCCGCTCAAAAAATTCTCTCTAAGACTCCATTGAAGAGCAAGAACAAGGTTAAGCTAGGGGTTCAAGAAAACTCCTTTATTCTCCAATTTCTTGTGTAAATCAACCTAAGGTATGGATGCTTTTCATCTTTGGGTATCTATCACCCAAAGAGCCCCTTCAAACTATGTTTTTAAGACTTCCAATTTCTCCAAAAACCTAGGGTTTCAATCTATGTCTTGGGTCTTTCTCCAAAACATTTTAAATTGTTTAATTATGGTTCATTATGATTGATTATAATGATTGATGATTGAAATAATGGAGTAATGTTGGATTTTGATGAAAATCTCCCTTGGACCCATGATTCCCCCTTCTTCCTAAATTGTAAACTATGGTATGGCTTGATTGATGATGGGAGCTTGACAATTGATTATGTTTACATTGATTAAGTTATTGAATCATGATATCCCTCTATATAATGTGGTAATTCTAGAAGTTAGGGTTGATCTTGATTCATAGCCTTGAAGGTAAACTAGTTAGGGTTTATACATGTTGGATGAAGATTGTATATGAACTGATGATTCACTTAGATAGCGATGATCCTATGACTATTGTGTAATTGTGCTATTGTTGTAAGATACTTTCCCCTATACCCTTACACATGACTATGCATGAAAGGTCTATGATTATGATACTATGATTGTGTTGATTGAAAGGGTATTCTCATGAAACACTATGAATATGATGTGAAAGGTTTACTCACATAATGATGATTCTAAGGTTGAAAGGACATTCTCACCTAATGAATCCATGAGCTATTATGATACCATGTTGACTCGAGTGCCTAGTGCATTCTTTCATGATAATGTACTTAAGTAAAGACTTAATATGACTTTTAAAGGGAATTATACTTAGCACCGAGTGGATACGAAAATGAGTTTGAAGGTTTTACGTTAGATAGTCCAGCTTCCAATGTAAGTTATCTCATGAGATGGAAACCTTTTACGTTAGAAAGTTTGTGTTTCTAGTAGCAATCTCCTTATCCCATAACTATATGCCCACATAGGTGTTTAGCTAGTGGATCCACCTAAAATATAATATGTAAGTTGTTGCTCCCAATTGCACACTCAAGTGTACGCGGTTGTGCAAATAATGTAATGGCTCTTAAAAGAACTAGATTATCGAGCCCAAAGGACTTGTCAATTAACTATTTTTACTAAATTATATTGGTCTAATTATTTATTTAAGAGTGCCAAAAGAAAAGAATGCAAGAACAAAATAATAAAATTACTTACAATCGTTGGAAAATTCTAGGGCTGCAGCATGCAAAGAATCTCATATATCATATTATTGGCTTAGAACTAATTTTATCTGTCAGATTACTGATTTATAGGGTTAATTATATGAGTCGGGCTATACACCTCTCGTCGCCTACTCCCGTTAGCTATATAAATACATCGTTGAGCATGGATAAATAGACTAACTGGTGAGCATTTATATTTCATCCTATTTCGTAACCAAGTAAAGAGTTCGTCCGGGCGTCACTCCTTAACACTAATAAACTCAATCTAAAGGGTGGACCGAGCTCTCTATTTTCTCTGGTCTATCTAACCTCTCCTTTCTTGATTTTAAGATTAGACAATATATTTATCTTATGGTGATCAAGCATAAAATACTAAAACAAGAATACAGAAGTAACTTATAATGACAACCGATAATTAATTCAAAAACCTTAAGTAATCAACATTCAATTCGTAGCTACAGCCCCAGAACAAGGGAGTTTAGCCACTAATCTCTAAGAAAAGAAAAAAGAAGAAAAAAACCCTAAAAAG